CCCCCCCCCCCCCGTTGCCGCGTCCGTCGTCTACCTTCGCCATCCTCTTCACGATCATATGTATACAGCATTCGGCGAATGGATACAGGAGGGTGTCATGCGGCTGCAACTGGAACGACGGGTTGTTTTACTTTCCCGCTAGAGATTGCTAGTAAACTCTACCGCCGATGCACCTGCGCACATCTCGTGGCTATGACTTTTACGTCGCGCTTGCATGTAAAAATATATGTCAGTCCAAAAAGCTGATAAAATAGAAGAACAATCTTAACATGTATCAAGCACCTTTTCCCTTCATTTTTCATTAATAAATTGCTGTTGTTGAATTTTTGCCTTTTCTAAAGAAAATTTTATTGAAGAACGTCATTATGATTGAAAATATGCAACTGCGTTGTTGTATGTATTTCATAGTTTTTCGGTTTGTTTATATAAAATTTTGTTATCATAATTTTCATAAGTTTGTACTAGGAAAACGTATTTTATTTAATATGTCACTTTAAAGGAATCGCCAATTTTGGTAAACTCTTCAATGAATTGAACATAACTTCTCAATTTTCACATAAAACTAAGAAATACAATGTTTAAAGTGAAGAAGTTGGTAACTCTCTCATAATGTGTAAATCAAACTAAAATTTTGACGACTGCTTCGCTAGATTGAAGCACATCGTTTGTGCTTCTCGTCGAGAAATTCCGAATAATATTTCGCAAGCCGAATGTCAGAGATAGCCGGTATTCGTGACGGATCGAAACGATATGCGAACATAATGTTTGCGGAATGTCTCTACGCGATGGCAGGTTGTATTAGTTCCAGGTCAGTACCAGCTGGTGGACTGTAACTTTAAGACCAGTCGTTTACACGAGTGCGGTAAATACGCAGTCCTATAATCTAACGCGAAGTAAATTCCGCAAAGATGAAAATATAGCGGCTGGAAGATGGCCGGTATGGAAGCATAACAAACGGCGATAGTACGAGCGGCGAATTGTGATAAAATATTTTGGACTTTCATGTTCTGCAATATATTTATCGTGGGACGCGCAGCCGTGCCTGTAAACAGAGCTTCATAATTTTCACTTAAAACAAATAGTAGTTATTTGCTGACGTTAAGGAGTAAAAGGTCTTCGTACTCTTTTAAGGAAAAATTATTATATGAAATCTAGTCTCTTACGTACGTAGATGAACACGATGTTACAACATATAGAGATAACATATTTGTGGTATACATATTCTCAAAGTGATATATATTTGAGCTTTGCTAAAATTAGCGATTCCCGAAACTTAGAGCGACAACATTCGCAATGTGATTTGCATAACTGCAATTTGTGTAATTGCAATTTCAATTATCCCAATCGCTATGCAGATTCGCCTATAATCCTTACAGTGATAGTGACCCCGATATTATAGATCAATTTCACGCTGAACCCCTTTAATAGCGACGTGCAATCTCCGCGCCCACAGCTCGTTGCAGCTACAAATAGATATACCGACCTGTCGTTAGATATAAAAGAAGAAAGTTCGGAAAAGAGGAAAATTCCTTGTTCCACTTTCCTTCTTTGATCGTTGACGGGAAAGGTGCTTAGCGAAGACGCAGAGAAAAAAGAACAGAGAGGAAGTCTCAAAGGGTGAGGAGGGGTGGGGAGGGGAGGGGAGGGGAGGGGAAAGGAAAGAAGGAGGGAAAAACAAATGAAGAAAAAGGATTC